TCTGTCACCCAAGCTGGAGAGCAGTGGCACAATCTCGGCCCACTGCAACCTCTGCCTCCTGAGTTCAAGTGATTCTCTCCTGCCTCAGCCTCCTCAAGTATCTGGGATTACAGGCATGCACCATCACACTCGGCTAATTTTTGTAGTTTTAGTAGAGTTGGGGTTTCTCCATGTTGGCCAGGCTGGTCTCAAACTCCTGACCTCAGGTGATCTGCCTTGGCCTTTCAAATTGCTGGTATTACAAGCATGAGCCACTGCACCTGGCCCCAGTGATTTTTATTGAGGCAAAATGCTACAGTCATAGGAGATGGCTGGTGGACCAGTTAGTTGGCAGAGCTATGATGACAAAATGGACTCATCAAAATGAATACTTCACATAAAACTAATAGTTAACTTCTAAAATCTAAGCTTCATTTTTGTAGATTTTAGAACTAAGTTATGAAAAAACGTGACTGCAAATTTGCAATGAACCCGATAGGAGACAGTACATAGGCAAAGACTTTTTACCACAACTTCACCTTTGAATAACATTGAATTTGCCTTCCTTTATCCACAAGAGGGAAACTTTGCAAAAACACATGAGCATTTTTCCGTAAGGAGGGAAAAAAGTTTCATGACATCTAAGTTTTGGGTTGTATAGTTTTTGCAGTGAGCACTATAATTTGTTTTTTAAAGTGATTTAATATTTCACAGTTTAGTGGACAACTAAAGAGGCATTGAAATTGCATCCTTTGAATAAGGCTAGCTCCATTTTATTGTGTCAGATGCAAACTAGAGATTTTAGTGCAAAATACAAATATAAAGCAGACATTTGTTTAAGCAAACAAGCAATTTGTTCATGTGTATATCTGATCCTTATTTGAAAGAGGTGCAGGCTCGCTCAGCCATTCACATTTGAAAACTATAAACTGTCCCATTGTCCATTAAAATGACCCTATTGGCAGCCCAAGACTTGGAACACCAGTTTCTTCACTGAGAAGAAACAATGCTTGCATTAACTCAGGGGATGTGCTGACAGTGTAGCCACCACAGGAGCCCAAACTAAGTCATGACATGGGAAAGATAATAGACAGATAAGGGTATTCTATTACCTTTATTCCACTTTTCCTCCAGGAAAGTGCTTCATTGAACATTAGATGCCTGGGTAGGGCAGGCACCATCTTGCTGTAGTACCTCAAATTACCTGACATTTTGGAAAGAGTTTTACAAGACTACATCAGGCTTTCAGGGTCTTTAATTCAACCTGAAAATGAAGGAATAAGCTAATTCCAGTGTTGGTGTTTTCTTGCTAGGACAAAAACAAATCCAGTTATTTTTTATCATTCTCAATAGTCTTTGGATCAGATATTTTCAGAGTTTGATATATTACAATACCTTTCTTAAATCAGTTTAAAATACGTTACTAGAATTGCCTATGTTTGATCTCAGCTTATTGGGGGGTAAAAAGTCCTCCTGAAAAACAGTACTTCCCCCTCTCCCAATCGAAATGGTGTGATTGACTAGACTCTACTTTTTAATAAATTGGAAAAGAGTATTTAACTAATACTCTTTTAGTTAAATACCATTGGAAAAGAGTATTTAATCAGTTTCCAAAGGACAGGACACTCCGCTGCTAATTAATTTATTTGTAATTTATTGTGGTGTGGCACATACAACCCAAGGGGCATAAAAGCACGCCTTTTAGAGGCACAAGTGGGACAGTCGAATCAGAGCATGAAGAAAGCATGTTTTACAAAAAGTTCAAGCACTGTCACATTAGGTTACCCAAACTTCACATTTTTTATCATTTACTTTTGTTCATTAGGAAAAGAAAGCTGTTTTGAGAGGATAATTCAAAGGTTTGGAAGAAAAGTGGTATATGTTGTTATAGGAGACGGTGTAGAAGAAGAACAAGGAGCTAAAAAGGTGAGTGTTCCTAGATAATGAATCTTGTCTCATTTATTTTTTTAGTCCTCAAGATTCTCATAACTGCATGATTTGAACAGATTCCGTATCTGTGAAACATGATGAATATGTGCAGCACTATGAGCGCTGAACAGGGTAAAGAAGCATTCAATAAATATGGACTGATCTTTCTGAATAGCAGTGTGCACAAGCTCAAGGGCCACAAGTGGTGTTCACAGAAGGCAGACTTAAGGAGAACTGAAGTGTAGCTGTCATCTAGAGCAGAGATAACACATGTGCTAGCAGGACCTTCTCTATTTCCATGGCAGACATGCCGATGGTTCAAACCTTGTTACATGAGCCTGGACACAGACTAAGAACCTTTCAAACATCCTTCAAAAAGTCTCTACCAGTTGGTCAAAGCTGACTTGGAAGATAAAACTATCTTCTTCCCCAGAGGACTCTATATCTTCTTTATATCATGAGGTCTTACCTGTCTCTCTCAGGGCAGGGAGAAGGCAGTGGACCCAACTATAAATCTCTTGGCTCCCACTTTGCCCATTGCACTTTGATTATATTCTTCTGAATCTCTGCGGGTGTAATTCTATCATTTCTCTGAGCAAAAGCTTTCTTGTTGTGCCTCTCATTGCACTTTTTAAAGCTGAGGACCACCTTCCTTAGCCTGGCATACAAGTGTCTCCACAACCTGCCTTTCTGATCTGTCTCCCCCGGGTACCTTACATTGTAGTAGAATCGGTCTACTCAGCTTTCCTTGACCATGCCCAACCGCTTTTCCGTGCTGTTGTCTCTCCTTGGAATGATCTTTTCCCTAAAATGCCTTTCTGTCATTGTCTTACTCATTTGCAAAATTCAATTCATGTACTACCTTTTCTATTCCATTTTTAAGAGATCAAATATAGTCATGCTCTCTTACATTTTAACTGAAGGTGCTGTAGTGGGTAAATAGCTTGGATTATTGAGCCAGACACCATGAGTTTTTGAATTATAATGCTGCCACTTATCCTTCCTGTGACTTTGAACAAATTCTTAACCCTCTGTTTCCCTTTCCTTGTCTATAAATGGAGATGGTAATAGCACTTACCTCCTTGGGTTATTTTGAGTAATGGATTTAGTTAAGATATATAACTCCCATAACAGAGCTTGATATGTATAAAGTGCACAAAAAATGGTAGCTGTTGTTGTTTGTGTGCCTGTTTCAGCAAGAAAAAAATTTGTGAGCTTCACAGATTCAGGAATCTTATTTTGCTTGGTTGGTTGTTTGAGACTGTCTTCAAAATTTTTCTAAATCCCTAAATCTTTACATAGTTGTACTCTAAATGTTTCTTGAATTTAAGGACATTACTTTTTTGGGAGATTAACCAAGAGCATAATTTTCCATTCCCTTCCTTACATACTCACTCATAGGAATCCATGTGTATTTCCATAAATGATACAGTATTTCAGCTCTTCTGGAATATTTCTGCATACACAGGAATATCATATAAAGTCACTAGATTATAGATGCAGCACTGAGCCTAAGTATGGTACATGGCCATACTTCTTACAGGCTCTGAAGATGGCCTGGTTTACCTTCAATGCCTCTGAGTCCCACTAAAAGCATAATCACTGACCCTAATTTTATAAGTAGATAATTTCATAGATACCCAGAGATACAGAATGTATCCCAGTAACAAACTTGCTTGAGTGTGGCTGGTGCTGGTGGAAATGTGTGGGCTCCTCATGCTCACTGTGAAGCAGCATTTGCCATTTAAGCAGTAGTTCTAACCTTCCCACTTCACCGATGACTAACCACTGTGTCACTGGGTACCTCTGTTACCCCTCTGGGCTGTCTTTATAAAATAAAATCTTTCCCAGACTAAGTCAGAATTCCCAAAACACAATCCTGGAGAGTTAATGAAAATGTTTTCTGAGATTCAGACTCAAGTCTTCTTTCCAGTAAAGGCTCTGGAATTCCCAAGCCATTCCTATTTCAGGACCCTCCTAGTGGCCAGCAGGGCAAGGATGGAACAGATTTGCACCTCTGAGCAGTATGGCCCTAGGCCAAGGTATAGATCCATCTCCAGGCTGGTCCTTCTCCCTCTGGTATCCAGCAGAAAGTTTAGTATCAAAGGTTACCAAAATGTGGCTTTCTAGCTTGTGGTAGGCAGAGAAGGATGCCTATGAAACTGATTACTTAAAATGCAAGAAACACAAGTGAAATCCTTTGAATCTTATCAAGATTTCTGTGAGTGGGTCCCTTCCTAAACCTTTCTGATAAGTACAATTATTAGATGACTTCAATGAACATAACATGAAAAAAAAAAGAAAGGTATTCTTGGTATGATATTAGAATTGAAAGTATTAATAGGAATAGAGTATTTGCTGTCTTTGAAAAGCAGTTAAGATTGTTTCTACTGTCTATCTTTGGACATGTCTTTTTAAAAATATAGGGCACACACAAAATAAATTAGGCAGCCACACTTGCAGAAAACATACTCTGAATTTTTTTACCGAATGACTCCTCCTAGCTTTCCATTTTTATTTCATGGATGACTGTATGTGATAAGAGACCAAAAATATATGTTGGAAACCACTCTTCGTACCATGAGACCTGCCTGTGTGTGTAAAATGGACAAAATTTTCACAGTGTTCAGATTTCTAATCTCAGTTTACCACTTAGAAAACAAGAAAGGAATGTTCAACTTGTCACTCTAACTTTATTGAAGAAGAATTTTTCTAGCCTTTTTAGGTTACCTAGTATATAAATAGCTGTCCTTTTATATGAGTTAAGGGACAAGGATCTAATCATTCAGAAAATATAATGAGTATCTTTAAAGTGAAGTGCTACATAGAAGAAGAGAATACTTAATGTTTAACCTATGGGAAATAATTTAGGAGGAGAAGCACTCTACAGTTCAGCAATCTCATTTTTAAAACTATATATAAAAACTCAAGCTAAAGAAACTAAGAGATGGCTTTCTATGCTATAGAAGGACTAATAATAGTAGTAACAAAAAGTGCTACCTAGGCTAGCCTCACGCCTGTCATCCCAGCACTTTGGGAGGCCAGAGTGGGTAGATCACTTCAGCTCAGGAGTTTAAGACCAGCTGGGACAACATGGCAAAACTGTGTCTTTATAAAAGATACAAATATTAGCTGGGCACGATGGTGGGTCCCAGCTACTCAAGAGGCTGAGGTGGGAGGACCCCCTGGGAGGTCAAGGCTGCAGTTAGCCAAAATCATGCCACTGCACTCCAGCTAGGATGACAGAATGAGACTTTGTCCCAAAGAAAAAAATATAAAATGCTACCAATTATAAAGCCCTCATTATATCCCAGTTCCTCTTTTAGGCCTTGCTATCCATTTTTCTCATTAAATCCTCATAATCCTATGAAGGAATCCTTAGACCCATTTTACAGATGAGAAAACTGAGACAGACACTGTAAGGGTGAATAATTCAGCCAAAATCACACAGCTCGAAAGTAGCCAAACTAGGATTTGAACTCGGTTATTTCCTCTGACTGAGATTTAGCAAAAAGTTTCTGCAGGCTGAGAGTGGTGGCTCATACCTGTAATCCCAACACTTCAGGAGGCTGAGACTGGTGGCTCGCTTGAGCCCAGGAGTTTGAGATCAGCCTAGGCAACATGGTGAAACCTGTTTCTACAAAAAATACACAGATTAGCCCAGCATAATCGTGCTGTCTGTAGTCCTAGCTACTTGAGAGGCTGTGGTGGGAGAATTACCTGAGCCTCAGAGGTGGGAGAATTACCTGAGCCTCAGAGGTCAAAGCTGCAGTGAGCTGTGATGGCACCACTGCACTCCAGCCTTGGCGACAGTGAGACCCTGTTTAAAAAAAAAAGTTTCATCAAACTATAAGAAATACATTTATATATCTTAAATATCACTTGACTTACAAAAAAGAATTTACATGGCTTTTCAAAAAATTATTAGAGTAAAATGCAATTCTTTTCAGGAGTTAGCTATAACTATATAAGTGTCTTCTTTCCCCTAATTTTACATTCATGATTAAAATCTTAAAAACATATAAGTAATTCTGATATATGCTTTAGCCCTAGAGCAGTTTATTAAATAAAATTTATAGCAAACCAGTGAAGTTCTGCACATCTGAGCACTAAAATGTCTGTCAAATCAAAACATTTTACAATGCTTCAGAATCGATTTTAACTATTTAGCTTGTCTCTCTTAGTTTCTTGTGTCCTTCAAACTCTAATACAGCATGCTCCTCTTTTCCCTGCAGAAATCTGTCATCTCCCTAAATAATGTTCTTTTGCTAGAGATTGTTACTTTTTTTAAAGCACAGAAACAAAATCCAGTAAGTCAGTCTGCCAGTTGCCCATTTTGTTAATGGTCAATTGAAATCTATTCTGTCATCCTTATTCTCTTTGCCAATGTAGTCCAAGGCCTTTCATCAGTAATTTAATCTAGCTCTGTAATTTGTATCATGAAAAGTACCCCCTTCAAAGAGAAAAAGTTAGCAATACCTTTGTTTTGTAAAAGAACCGCCTCATTTTAAAAGGATCTCTTGCAAGAGTTTTGTGTGAGTGCCTCCTTGTTCCTAGAAAGATTGTGGGAAGTCTCTACCTATGGAAGTCTTCCTTTGACATATGTCTTTTGTTGTCAAAATCTACCAGTTGTTCTTTTTTACCATAAAATGATTTGTTTCTCTAATGCAACATGGCTTGAAAGAAAATGATTAGATGTAGGTATAATTATTTTAAAGAAAATAAAAAACTAGGTAATAGTCTCCTGTACCTTGACACCTAGTTTTCATTTCTAGAGTAGTACAAGTGGCCTTGCTAAATTATTTTCAGAGAACTACTTAAATCTCTTGTTAATGGCAAAGGGAGAAAAATGGCAAGCATCCATTATTCTCCACAATGACAAAGACTTCATTAGATGTTCACTTTATATGTACATTCTAAGATAAGCTGAGAACCTGATAAATAATGCCTGATTTCAAGCTTATTTAGGAGAAAAATACAAGCCACTTTTTATAAAATAACATTTATAAAGCAATTTTTGTTTTAAGTGGCACATCAAGGTTATAAACACCAACTACAATGAGTATTATTTTTGTAAAGTCATAAATTCATTTATAGTTAATCACTTACTATATGCCAAGTTTTGAATTGGATTTCATCTTCATGCTTAAAGAGCATACTTATGTCTAGAGGAGGAGGAGGTACACAAATAAAAGAGCAACGTTGTACAGTAAGTTTCATAAGTTCTCCCTTGATAACTTTACAATTTGAAAAGTGTTTGTAATTCCATCTGCAAAACTTTCTAACTATGACATGTACATGTGGAAGCACAAGTATTTTTTAACACAAATGAGAAGTATATACTTTTTTTCATACCTGCCTTTTCACTTAATCTATCCTGGCAGTTATTCCATGTCAGTACATGAAGTTTTGCATCTCTAATGTTTTAAATGACTGCATCAATATTCCATTTTGTGGATGATGTTATATTTAACCAGTCCCCTGGGGCTGAACATTTAGGTGATTTCCACTATTACTGCAAACAGTTCTACAGTTCACTCAGGTGCAAGTGCATCTGTAGGATAAATTCCTAAAAGTGCAGTACTTAAGTCAGAAGATATATGCTTTAAACTTGAACACATTTTAACAATTCAGCAAAAGTTCTGTTTACATATATGTATCCACATACCCAGATTTTTATATGATTGATGTTATATATAGTCTGAAGGTGTAAATGCTAAATATCAGATAAGGAAGATTTTTAAGGTTGCTCCAGCAGGCAAGAGGAACAAGAAGGATGTGTCATTGTTTTCCCATTAGGCAATGTTTTGGTTCTGGAGATCCAAAAGCATGTGCTAATTTTAGGCCTTGATACCCACTTCTCTCAGTATATACCTAATCTTGTTAAAGTAATCATACTCATGCTACAGTTCCAGCTGTCATTTCCGTTAAGACTTGTGGGTAGCTCTGTTTCTAGTCCCAGGGCTTCATCTACCTGGGAGAATATCTCCAGTTAAGTATCTCATGCTCTACCCATCTGATTGTCTTAATACAAGCAAATGAATTCAGCTGTCCTAAACCAGTTTGCCAACTCAGACATGATTTGGGGTTCGTTTCCCACCCACCACTGAATCACATGAACTCTCTTCACAATATGTCTTGCATTTATTACACTCACTCCGTTTCCACAGTAATTCTACCTAGTTTCTTTGCTACCAGCCAGAAACATCTTTAGTCCATCCTTTCCTTACTGCTGCCCTGAGTTGCTTAAAACACCCACCTTTTTGTGTCTCTTGGCACTGAAAAAATATTAGCCTCTCACCCCTTCCATTTACAAGATAAACGTCTAAGCTCCTTAGATAGTCCAAGTGCTGCTACAGTGACAAACCTCCTTAATAACACTTAGTATGAATTGTGCATTTCCGAAGTCCACTATTTTTGTGCGAATAAAAGTGCTGACAGCAGCTGACATCACTGCACTGCATGTCATGCAGAGGACAGAGTCGCTGTCCTCCCCAGAGTCCTCCAGTTCTCTTCCATGTACCCCCTAAGATTTGCACAGTTTTCATTGTAGAATCCTCGGCACTTCCACCCAAATGAATGGCCATCCCCACTGCACTGTGATGAGTTGTCTGTAATATACTACAGGAAGTTTCATTCTTTGACCTCATTTCAGAATGCTGCTTGGCCAGGTGGTTCTTAATACTCTCTACAGGAAGACTAAAGCCATTTGTATTTTAGTGCCAGTAATAAACAAACCAAACTTAGGGCTTTTTGTGGATCATCTCACTTTTCCAGATAGTGTTGAGTATAGTTTAAAAGAAAAAGGTAAGTGTTCTCTAGGTGGCATCAACCCATTCCCATGTACAGATGAGACTCATACCCATTGAACCAGTCCTTTGTTTACTATGGAATTAAATCCCCACTTTATACTTTATGTACCAAAGAAATTTTTTCAGTTTCCTTTTCAATCTCTGTGAGAGTCATGGCATTCTTCAGTGCAGGGTTCTGATTGCAACAAGTGTTTTCAGATTTGCATTGTTAATGGCTGTATATGCAGAGGACTTGTCTATGGGGAACATATGGAACCTCAAACAGTTGACATGCAAAAGAATTTGACTGAACCTGCTCTGAAAAAACAATTCCACTTTGCACAAATATTTTTATATGTTTTTATAAGAAAAACACAGTTAGAAATAAAGAGGATATAAAATAAACAGCAAGTAGGTGGTTAAATATAAACACTGCACAGTTGAATACTTGAAAACTTTTAAAATAATAGTTTTCTTTTAAAATGTGTCTTAAATGGATTTGAGATTAAGTAGTAAAATTAGTAGAATGTTGAATGGTACATACTGGATAGACTTTTCAAGTATGTTTGAGTGTGTACATGTATGAAAATATAAAGAAATGTTTATCATAGTTAGCTTTGTCTAGTAGGATAAGAAATTATTTGTATTTCCTTTTATGGTTCTACATTTTACAACATGAATTTCTCTTCTAATAAGGAGGAAATCTATAACTGATCAAACATTTTTCTAACCAAGATCTATGAATCATAGTCACTCTTTTCCAGTGTCTATAACCCCACAGAGAATGGATGGGGGGAGGGAGGGAGGGAGGGAGGGAGAGAGAGAGAGAGAGAGAGAGAGAGAGAGAGAGAGAGAGAGAGAAACTGAACCTGTGCTATTGTGCTGATAATTTACACAGCTGAATAAAATGCCCACAGAAAACAGGTAGAAGGCATTACAGCATATGAGCTTCAAAGTCACACCTGGTATGTATCTTGGCTTCACTCCTTACCAGCTGTTATTTAAACCTCTCTGTTCCATCACTAAGCCTCAGGATTTTGTTTTTTAACTAACACAATAATAATAGCAATACCCCTGGCTCTCTGAGTTGCTTAGCATAGTACCCAACCCAATATCCAATAAATCATAACTCTTGGGAGATTATTACAGATAAACTCCTTAACAGGGCTTACTAGGCCCTGCATCAGCTGGCTCCTGTAGCCACTCATGTAACCAACCAAGTCTTTCTCATACCCAGCCAGTTGGCATTCATACCCGTATGCCAACAATGAATTTCTCCATTATTTTCTGTTCTCCAACACACACAGCCATCTGAATGTTAATCCTTCATACCTAGCTCAACTATCACCTTTTTTCAGCTATTTTCCCAGTTTCCTAGACAAAGATAATTGCTCTTCTCCTACAAGACGTAGATGAACACTGATGATTGTTGTGCATTTTTGCTACTCAGACTGTGAGAGAGGGTGAGCCACCAACATATGCATCTCTGGATCTTCCACCCCTGGCACAGTGTGCTCTTTCTGAATGAATGTACAGTGCTGCATCTTATAGTGTGAAGTTGCCAAGTGGAGCAACCTCCTAAAAATAAATATTTAGTTCTCATTTCTAGACTATTCTGTTATCACTCAATAACAAATATTTACAAATATTCCAAAATAGTCTTGAGTCCAGAAAGGTCTACATCTAATATTGGAATGTGGTATGTGATTTCAACAGATAATCTGAGACAAATACATTATTAAGAAGTAATATTTTATATCCCAGTATGTAGCAGCTATGTGATCTATATATCAAAATGGTTAATGGCTTCCACTGTTACCTACACATAATTTAAAGAAAAAAACCCTTTTCTGTTTGTTCCTATGTGAAATTCTATTAGTCTGAAATTTTTTTCAGATTTCTTGGAACTATATTGCCAATTATACTCCAGGCTCCACATTAATTTTTTGCATAAGAATCGTAGTCTTTAAGGTAAACAGAATTTTATCAGACTCTGGAAGGTGGTGATTATCTTTCTCGTCAAAAGGTTTTACTGATGCATTAATACTTACTATAGTGCTTTGGGGCAATAAAAGTTCATCACATTTTCACCCTTCATGAATGATGTAACTTCTGGTTTCTTCCTGTTTTTCTTGTCTTTGGTTTCTTCATGTGTTTCACAAACATTCCCATTACTGAAATGAGATTTTTAGATTGAGTTATAAACAACAACTACAAAAAACAAAACAAAACAAAAAGCAACTTTAGATGTTCATTTCAAATTTTTTCCATACGATAAAGCCATTTTAAGGCCAATATGAAGGATAACTGAAGAAAATAAATGGAAAAAAGTTGCGTCATGTATAAGCCACAATTAAGTTAGAGAAAATGTAAAGTATTACTAACTAAAGAAAACTGCTTAAAGTCAAAGTACAAGCTTTTTAAACTTTCATCATGAAAAAGCCACTGGATATGTATTTTGAAAAGCTGCTGTATTTGGCAACATTCTTTTATTTAAAGCTTGGAATTTGGCATTCAAGTCACAGTGTAGATCCATTTAGGAAATATCCATCCCCTTCTTCAAAGAAACAGACTCTAGATTACATTTTAAAACTCAGTCCAGTATTCTTACCGGAAGTTTAAGTTTGAATTTTTGTTGTAAACAGATGTGAGGTTAAGATGTTAGCTGGCATTTTCCACAATATTGAAAATGGGGGTGAGCGTGGAAGTGGATTTCCAAAGGAGCCACTGGGTGCTCTGTCCTCACGTGTATATGTGCCCCTTCTGCAGCACGCGATGCCCTTCTGGAGGATCTCCAGCCACTCGGACCTCATGGCCCTGCACCACGCCTTGGAACTGGAGTACCTGTAACAATGCTCAGCACTTTGACACCGCACAGCTGCTCTGTGACCAGGGACAGATCCAGCAGGCCCCAGTCTCACATCAGCGACGGCCTCCTGAATTTAGCAATTTCTGCCTGCTGATGCACAGCTGCTGTCGGTCTTGACCTCTGCCCTTGTGGTGAATGGAGGACCACGTCTATTTCTTCAGAACAGCTGTTGACTCTGGTACTGTGAATCCAATGAAAAGCCATGAGAATGTTCTAGCACAGCGTAATGTGTCTGCCACATTAACTACACGGTTCAAACCTGTGAAGAGAGGACCTGCAAACGCTTCAATTGTTAGCATTTTCAATGTGATGTGAACAGCTTCTCCAATACAGCAAACCCTATTGCACAACAGAGACTGAATGAAACGTATTTCCTGAATACCAGTGGAGAAATTTTCTTGTAAAGAAGGTTTACTTTTGGTGTCTCATACCCAGGGTAATCTGTACATCTCTACTTATTTATGAACAGACTTTTTTTTTTTAAAAAAAAAAAAAAACAGCTTTATTGAGGTATAATTCACATACCCCACAATTCGCCCACTAGACTCTTTTGACATTAAATAATTGAAGAGACAATAGCATTAGAAATAAGTGATTCAAGGCCTTTGCATCACAACATGGCAAGTATAGTACTTTGAATGTTAGCACATTGCATAGTTTTAAGTATGTCTAATTTAAACGTATAATATGTACATCACTGAGACAATCATGTACAGAAAGAATTTTTGGTGTAAATTTGTAATAATGGATGATTCTTTGACATATTGTTTAGGGAAATGATATTGAAAGGTAGCAATGCCTTGATAGTGAAGCATGAGGCAGCATGTGCATAAACTCATGTGCCATGCCTTATCTAAGTGTTGGGTATAAATATGTAGATAATACATTTTTTTTTAGATAAATGTTGTCAAGACCAAAAGCATGGATGTCAAGTGTCAGTAAGGATTTTGTTTTCTAAATTTTCCCCCCATCAGTTCTTCTGAGGGCCTTGATGAAATAACAAAGCAGTTTCTTAAACAATTTGAAAAAAATAAGTTCTCCTACCACCTCACTTTTTCATTTCCACACTAATGTATTATATGTAACTACTTGGAAAAAATAATTATTCAAATGCTTCTTCCCACAAAAAGAATATAGATGATAGTAGATATATTTTATTAATAAAATGGTTCATAAATTGGAGACTAACAAAGTTTTTAATGTGTTCAAAATTATTATCGTGTCTGCATTTTCTTTAGATAAAGGAAGACACACAATGCTAATCCAGAAATCAGCAAACTTTGCATTACTCCCTACCTGTGTATTTTCTCTGTCTTCCTCCCACCCAGAGGAAAGTTCATTGCCATTGTCATCACCATGGAAACAATGTTCCTCTCCACCTGCATTATGTACTACATGACAGGCATAGATCTGGGGAATTAAAATTATCACATTTGCCACACCATAAGAGTTTCTCCAAAAGGGGTCCGTTTGGCCGGGCAATATTTTCTCTCATGTAATGCAATCCATTGTCATGAAATTACTCTTAGGATGAATCGTCTTTAATGTTATACTGGGCGGGGGGGAACCCACCAGCTTTGACCTAAAGTAGCTGAAGAGCTATTTCATCCTTTTCTGAAGTTGTAGGTTGCTGCTAGAATTAGTCATTTGTGAATTATCCAAATTGTTTGAATTCACAATTGAATTTTTTCTCCTTTTTTGCTTGAAGCAAACAAGTTGACAATTTTTTAACCTTTTCATTTTATGTTTTTGTACTCTGCAGTCTGAAAAGACAAAGTTTATCTTCGACTTACTGTATAAAGGTGTGCTGTGTTCACCATTGTGTACAGAATTTTTCTTCATTAATTTTGTGTTTAAGTTAATAAAATTGATTTGTGACGTACTGTAAGCTCCCTGACTGTCGGGATTATCTTTTTCTCCTGGTTATATGAAAGAGCAGGATCTTGGTTGCATGAGAACACCTGAAGTCCAACAAAAGGAAGTTGTGTGAAGTAACTGCTGTGATGGCTGTATCAACCCTTTAGGGGACGGAACTTGAAAGGTAACAGCTGTTTCTTTGATCACTGTAAATACTGATGAATGGAAAAGTTCTTCACTTCTCCAAAAACTATATAATATGGACCCTTACTCAAATTTATCTACTGTAGAACATAATTCAGCATAAACTAGCTTGGATTGCAGAGCATAGATTTAGCCACTTACAGACTCAAGGAATGGCACTATAAAGCAGTTTCATCAATAAAGAATGTCCACAACAGATACCTCCATGATTTGGCCAGATTAATCATTGACAGAGAGTTATAAAAAGCACAGCTGCCTTCCTCCTGAGAATTTAATCTTAGAAACACACATTCATACATGAAAACAAATTAAAAATACACTGCCTTGCCCATTTGTCAGGCCCCTGATGTGTATTTTTCATATTCACACACCAGATCAAGTGACTCGAATTATGAGGTGCCACTGAGCATGCCCTGGCACCCCAAGAATGAAAAGAGTTTGGGGAAAATCTTTAAAGAGAGACAGTGGTGGGGGGTAAAGGGGATTTTAGGGCTTAAGAAAGTATGAAAAACAGGCCCAATGGAGGGCATATCCAGAAGATGAGTTTTCTAAAGCACCGCCTGTAATGTGACGCCTCCTGATCAAATTTTTAATGGCTCCTCTTTGATCACAGACTTGGGGCTCAGATTTTTCCCCCTGGCATTCTAGAACCTCCAAATACAGTCTCTACTTTCTTCCTAGCATTCTCTCTCATTACTGAAATGAGCAGATCTTCAGTACACTAGACTAGCATACTAAGCTCATCAAAAAGCCCTCAAGCATCTCTGACTTGCCTTTGCTCAAAGCATTCTCACTACCCACAATGACTTCCTTCACCTCAGCCTCAATCCACCCAAACCATGTCCAGCTCCAGTTTTTCCTCCTTTACAGACCTTTCTTCCCACCATGGTGGAGCAGCTTCATTCATCATCTCGCACCAAGAAAATTAAGGACACAAACACACACAAGGAGTGGGTTTAGGAGTTGAGGTTTAATAGACAAAGAGACAGAAAGAGAAAGGAGAAAAGCTCTTTCCCTTAACCACAGATTGGTTGGATGAGGTGTGACATTTACACAGCACGTGGGGAAGGCTGGTCACCCTACCCTAATATTATGCAAATGGGTTTTCCACTTCACCAGCCCATCTTGTTGCTCCTTACTGTACATGAGGCTGGCAAAGAGAAGGGAAGATGGAGCTGCCATTTTGAACATGCCCTAGTCCCAGGTAGCCTTTTCCTATTGACCCGACTGCTGGCACTCACCTGTGCAAGCTTCCAGTTTGCTTGTCTATGTCTGCAGCTCAGTTTTACAGGCTGCTTTAAGAAAATTATTTGGGGGCTGCTTTTTATTAAAAGGAAAACCTTATCAAGTACCCTCACTATCTGACTAAATGATTTCTTCCTAACTCCTGTATCCATGGCATGCACTGTTAGCTCTTTCTCTTCTCTCCGTCTATGCCTTTATTGGAAGTCCATATTTCATTCAATAAAGACTCACTGCCCTCAAACCCTCAACAGTGTGGCACCGTTCCAGGTGCTGAGGGTAGGATATCCATGCCCCAAGGACTGAGTTTACATTGGAGTTGGTGGAAACAGACCATAAATGAATTACTAAATGCATGAATAAGCTACATTCAGATCAAAAGGGTTCTTCTGGGAAATACAACAGAACATGGGTCCGTGACAGGCATAAGTTTCCTCTAATAGAATGGACAGATGTCTGAGCCAAGACCTGACTGCTAAGATGTTGGAAGCATGTAAAGATGAGGGGCAGGACATGCAGGCAAAGCTCCTCAGAGAACACTCTGTTTATCCTCCAGATGAGAACCATACCCATGGGTCCAAGAAGAGAGGAGCAGGAGATGACTTTGTAAAGGGAAGGCGACCAGGAAGACCTTGAGTTTGTGGTCTGGAGTTTGGATGCTATTCTAAGTGAATGGGAGGACACTGAGAGTTTTACCTATTGGGGGGACCTGGTCTAGTTTACTCTTTGAAATGATCACCTGGCTGCTGAGTGGAGAAGAGGGTGGAGAAGGAGCTGGAGAGGAGCAAGAGAAGAAATGGGAAAAACAGTTATTAGGACAGTCCCAGCAAACAGTGGTCAGATTTAGACAAAGATGGTGGAAATGTAAACCCAGGTTGTTTTTTAGTGATGGCTAAATATTTATATAGGTCAGATGGAAGAAATGGGGAGACAGGAGAAGAATCTGGACACGCCCAAGGGAAGAGGTCTCAGCACCACTGTGGACAGTTCATCTTAGTGGTTAGGAGTTTCCCCAGCTGTAAAAATGGAATAGCAATTATATCTACTTCAGAGGATTATTATGAAGACAAAGTTAATACAGTTGACCCTTGAACAACCCGGGCTGGAATTGCATGAGTCCATTTATACACAGATCTTCTTCCACTGCTGCCACCTTTGAGACACTGAGACCAACCTCTCCTCCTCCTCAGCCTAATCAATGAAGACAATGAGGAGGAAGACCTTTATGATGATCCACTTCCACTTAATATTCTCTTCTTTATAATTTTCTTAGTAACATTTTAAGAATACAGTATATAATATCAAAAACATGTTAATTGACTGTTTATGTTATCATTAAAACTTCCAGTTACCAATAGGCTATTAGTAGTTAAGTTTTTGAGAAGTCAAAAATTATACATGGATTTTCAATGGAAGAAGGGTTGGTGCCCCTAATCTCTGCTTTGTTCAAGGGTCAACTGTGTAAGTGAAGTGCTTGGGACACTGCCTGGAAGATTCTCTAATGTTGCCTATTACTGCACTGACTTTTCACATACATATCTCCCCAACTGAAGAACCAGCTTCTTGAATGCACAGACCCTACAGAAGTCCACTGCATTGTTT